AAAGGTTATCAGCAGCACCAACAACCATTAAACATGAAGTCTAATCCCAATTTTTTTCCCAGAATGAATTCCAACTGAATCCTATGACATTTTCAACCAAAAACTAGATTTATTTACAACTTGTCCTATGAAATATTCGATGAAATCCTATTCCATGCTAAAAAAAAACGAAACAAGCCAGCAACAGTTGTATCAGAACCGACGTCGAACTCAGATTAAACCAACTTTTGCACAGTGCATAGAAAATCTGAGCAATCAATTTGTACAGACCATTCTAACCTTTAACCACGAAGATTAAAAGCCTACAATCGCATGTACGTCTCAATCGAGCCTATTTCCAACTTCTGAATAGATTTTCAAACTACGTTCGTCGTAGTTAACCGCGGTTAACATTTAACTGGGTACAAATTAACCGTGGGTTAGTTCGGACGAAGTTGACAAATGTGGGACATGTGAATACAATATTGGGTTATTGTTGAATAGAATATGTACTGTTTAGTTGCCGGTATAAAGTAAACTGAGAATTCAGGTGGATATATGGGTTTTAGGGGTCATCTGGTGGGTGCACTGGTGCTGAGAAGGTTCTTACGAAGCTTTCCAGACGTAGATTTGCAGTTCCGAGTCCACCGATTGCAAGAGGATGGCTCGAAAGTTAATGATTGTCTAATTATACCGACCACTGAGAACTGAGCCCAGAACAGCAGTTCATTAAAACATTTCTGTCTCTTAAAACGTATTTAAAATATTCCTCAACTTCATAATAAACACCAAAACGTGGACTTGTCAACATTCAGACATTATTACCTAAATCCAAAGCTAATCCATTTCTGACACAATTTTTGCGCAAACATAACCTCAAAAAATTGTCCATCCATCCATCCGTCGTAGCACAAAGGGTAGCTAAGCCTTTCAGTCCTTTTTCTCATTAATCATTCCTTTTCGGAAATCCTTTTAGTTGACGTCTACCTTCCATTGGACTAAGGATTAGTTAAGCGGCTTACAATCCTCTAAATATTGTATTATTATTGTGTTAACTCTTTTAACATTCTTCAAAGAGCTTATTGTGTAAATCTTATTTGTGGTACATAGAGTCTATTTTAAATCATCAAGCAATCACTGGGTCAAGTAAAGTTATAGTTGGAACGTCTCATTAGGAGTCAATGAAACCGTTTCTTGTATGACCTACTAAAAATAAAGTCGGTAAATAAGTCAATAGTTCAGACACGTGTTTAGGCTAAGTATCGTTTAAGCATTCGTGTAACAAATACATAAGTAGCTAACTGATTATTAACAGAATATTTTGTATCTACGTTTGTTATTATTTAATAGTTTGGAACTTAGGTATTTAAACCTACTTTAACACTTCTCTGCGGTTGACTGGTAGAGAAAGTCATTCGGCATTAAGTCCGCCACTGTACGATATTTGTACATGAAGTGTTAAACAAATAAATAAAAAATATATTATCCGATCATTAATTTATCTATAACTTCAAAACAAACATAAGTTCAACGACATCTACTACACATTATGAGTAGCTATCAAAAATATTTTCATTGCATACATAATCTACGGTACTGAATTATATTTACAATCAACGAAAAACATGGTTACACATCAAGCTATAAAATCCAGTTTATATAGATCTCGCTTTATATGACGTTTCCGCAAATTCAACGGGCAATTAATACTGGTTTGTTCAGCTTGACATGTACCTGTGTGTACTATATTCTAATCAACAAAAACTTTTCTAATATTGCTCCGATTTTGCTGTTATTCATTCATCATATTCTTAATGGGAGTCATTTGATACGTGTGAGTAACTGTTATATTTATGTAACACTGTTATTATATCGCCATTACATGCAGGTGGTAGTTAGTCATGATATGGATTTCTGTGCAAGCTTTTCTACGTAGTAATGGTGGGATTCTTTGAAATTGTTTACATTGGTTCAAAATAGTTGTATATGCAAATGATTAGCTGGAGTTTTCGGGCGTCTGGTGGATATACCGACACAGATTTTTATTATTGTCTTTTAATAACTTTTCCTTCTCTGTGCACAAGTTGTATTCCTAAGAAAATGTCACCGCTTGTTAAAAATCAAGGGATAATTTGGTTCACCCTGCGGGCATCAAATCCAACACCACACACTCACCAGAGATGAAGCCAAATAGGACTGATGCCGATACGGAGCCGCGGAGGACTTAACGGGTTGCGGGGGTACGACTCGAAGAGCAGAAGTAGGACCAGGGTGGTTTTTTGTCAGTAATAGTCTGAGACTCCCTCTCGCCTGTGTTGGGTGTGAGAATTCATTGGACGACAGTCGCCCTTACAACTATTTCCCCATACAACCACAATATCAACATCAACATGGTTTTATAGCAGTAATGAATAAAACCATAAATAATGAAATCTGTTGTTCACTTTCACTGCACTGTTGAAAGCAGTTCCGTTGGAATACATAATTGAAGGATGGCTATCGCCATGAATATTTGACGATAACACTCAACAGAACAACAACTATCTGTTGAAAATGTTCCAATATGGGATAAAAATAATAGGAATATATCAATTTAAAGGGTACCTAATAGGTACTTTAAAGTGGAAAGACTTGGTAGTGTTTTGTTTCCATTCAATCGTTCTTTGAAGTTTCTTGCTCGCTCTTCTCCATCCGAAACTAGACTTTGGAACGACCACCTAGCTTTACTGACAGACAGATTTATGGACGATTCAATTTTGGCGTTTCAAAATAAATGAATAAATGAATTTGATTTTGACTCCAAAACTATAGGAGCTTTCTTATTGAGAGGAAACTCTAAATTTAGAGGAAGAATCATATCTGAGTTTTTCATACCAATTTGTACAGAAAGTTTTTTTTTTAATTATTGTGTACAATGAGACATGTGTATGTTACGTGGCCTGAATCTTCGCATGCAAGCCCTAAACAGTATTGGTAAGGTGGATTAATTGGGGTGTATAATTATAGTTATGAGCAAAGGTTATTATAAAACTGATCTTGATTTCGATCCAAAAGAATGACCCCGCGCAGTAAGAATAGACAATGTGATCGTGATAGTGATACTTGTAATGATATGTTTCGTCGGATCTCGAATCCAACTAGGTATAAGTTGAAACTCTAGAATGACAATTGAAATTTTGGCTGTGTTTTTCGCCATGTTACTTCATCGGTGTCGATAAACTACACCTTCACCTTTTAGACAACACCTTAGACTATACCTTTAGGAAATATTTATTATGTGATCTATACATAAGTAAAATGTAACAAGATAATTTTCGAAGAATCATCTCAATCAGATTACGTAATATCTATCAAGCGTAGTTGCCCATCTATAAATAACTTGATCTTTGAAACACCTACACGTTCATTCAGTTAGCACAAGAGAAGTAAGTAACTGTTCGAGTAATCATTGGAAATACGTCAGTAGTTAATAGTCGTGTTCCTTCGAAATTATAACGATTACCAGAAGCTTCTTCTTTCATTAAAATTACAGAGAAGATATGTTTCTTGTCATTGAAGATGTCATATTTTTTATGTGATTAGGGCTAATATGAATCCGAAGCCGCAGAAGACTCAACAGATTGCCGGGGCTCCTGCTCGAAGCAGGAGTAGGAACGGGGTGGTTTTTAGTCAGTAAGAGTCTGACACTTCCTCTCGCTTCACCCAAGGTGAGAGAAGTCATTGGAATACTATTAACCCCTCAAAAAAGGGTCAATGAGCAGTTGGATCGGCTGATGGAGTTTGATCAATGCCGCACACGTGAAACACCAGAGAAGAGACAAACGTGTTACCGGTATTTTAAAATGCAGTGCTTAGGCACTGCATTTTAAAATAGAGCTTAGGCTCTTTTCTTGAAGACAGAAAAAAGAGGACAACCAAAGAAAACATGAATCAACTGTGTAAGTAGAGAAATAGGAGGGAAAAGAGTTAACGATACTTTTACGCCACATGCGAGAAATGTAAGAAGAAAAAATATTATAGTTCCCACCCCATGCAACATAATCATCTTAATTTTTGTTTCTAAAATTACAAGCGCCATGACAGTGAATTCCAATATATCAAAATACCCAATAAGCACAAAACCTGGACACATGATATGCCCAAAATCATCTTCATTACTAGCCGATGCGTAGTAAGTACCTTTGTACTTGGTAAACAAAGGGAAAGCCTTCGTATAAAGCCAAGGTTTTTTGTAACGTTGCGTAAGAACTGTCAAAAATTATCCAAATTTCCGCAAGATTCTGAAACCAAATTGAAGATTTTCCTTGAAGATATTTTGATTAGAAGGCTGTTTATTAAAATGGACCTTATGATCGATAGTAAAAAGCTCAATTTAATACCTGTATTAAATTGACAAAGTCTTCTGTCTAAACTTCTCAATACAGGTATTTGTCATTTTTAACGAGATGATGATCTCTGGATCACGTTGATAAAACGTCTTTAGTCAACCCCTAACCGCTGAAGGAAGACAATTCTGTCAAGTTTGTACTTTTTACATAATCTTCGGCGTCGCTTTTAACCGGTCATGAGTCGTCATTATATTGGTTTGTTTATTATTTTTTTACTGTTTAATTAGTTATTATTCGGTTCGCATTAAATTCTTAGTGAACAACACCATCTATATGAGATTACAGATTTCATAAAACATTTACGGTAGTTTGATTGCCATGCCGTTTTATGAGTCATAATGTTATTCTAGTATACGAGCACATTCTGTTACATTAATACCCATAGTAGCAGACCCATTACTCAACCAATTTATTGGCTGACATCTCCACAATTTCATTGTTATACAACTACAGCGTTTATCGTATCAAATCTCTGCAGGCATGAAAAAACCTTCGCCGGAATGTGGCAGCAATTTTCTGAATGATTTCACCCCAGCATAGTCACGCGAACATTTCGCCACAATATGTGGTACATACATACGTGTGTACTTGCCATTACCAAGGGCAACCTCCGACCTTAAACTAAGAACTCACCTTATCAAAACAACGACATTTTTAACAGTCAATCACATCTATACTAAGGGAAGACACTACGGGCAGCTAACATTACTGAAACACACACAGCAACCGCTAAATTGACAGGTTAAGACAACACACACGATTTTAACACCTCAGGACATTATTTTTATTGATGAAAATGGTATTCGGCGTCCGCTAAGGGTCCCCGGGCGACCGGCAGGCGAGCGCGCTAGCCGGCGCGCCGCCTTACTTTAACTGAAATACGCGCTCGCGAACTGTTTTTTGCGCAGGCGTACTACAACGAAGGATCGGCCGAAATTCACCCTTACACACCTCTGTGGAACGGTTAAACTACCTTTTTGCAGGCAACGAGAAACGCACTTTATATTTATAGACCGAAGAGTACATTTTGAGTTGACTAAAAAATCTCCTTTGTTTCGTTTTGAATAGACGATTGCGTGTGCCGCACTGCACACGATGGTAATTAAATATGTGTTTGACAATAGTATCGAGGCTCCGGCGGCTGTGCTCCTGATGACGTCAATGTTCCAAACGCTCAGTAGAGAGCGTTCGTGTGGAAACCGTTTTGCGAGAGTTTGCGAGCGATTCGACGTCAAAGCGAGCGAAAACGAAAAAAATGATGGTGATTTACATTTGAAATTGGAATAAGCTTTTTCGATTTAAATATTCTGTTTTTAATTTCTTCCGACCGCTTGCTGGCTTCATGCAATATAAAATTGGATGAATCAGCTCTGTTTTGGGGGTCATGATTCAACTACCTTTAAAGGGTTAAGAATTAATTAATGCTCTTCGTTATCGGAGAGCCAACAGATTTTGCTGTCGAAACAATTCATCAGAATTCGAAACAAAATAAATTTGTGAATGCTTTTAACATTACTGGGGCAGTTACTGGTTATATGCATTTTAAGTTAATATCAAGCTTGCTACTGACTCAATAAATTGCTTCTTTACCAGAAGGTACTGTGTTTTAATTCTCGGACCAGGCAAATAACTCAGAGTAACATCTAGTATAATTAATTACTAAATATATAAATCGACATACTTTAACTAATAGAAAAATCATGAAACATTGAAGAGTTTAATATCATCGTTCATGCATCGTTGTCACCAGCCGAAACACGACAGCTGCTAAACAAATGTATCGTAGTCCTGTTGAAACGACAACTTGCCACTTGCAACCATGACTCTTCCTGACTCTGATAATGGCATCAGTTCACCTAACGGGAAAGTTTAACCCTATACTTGGCAGGCATTTTATTTTCAGTATTTTTGAAAAATAATACCTGGTTTGTGTTCCTAGGCGTTCACTGGAAAGGCGAAAAATAATAAAAAAAAATTGTAATTATTTAATTTACGTTTTATTATATGTATCACATTAGGCACATTGCCAGGTTCATAATAATCAATTGAAGATAAACTATGTATCATATTTGACACATTGCTTAGAATAGGAAAACTAAAAATAATATAAATTGTGTTTTCTTAATCAACAAATACAAAAAAAATCCTCTAAAAATCAACATAATTATCAGTCACAATCAGCCTTTAAGTCTTACCTAATTAATGTGTATAATTTATGAATAAAATGAGATCAATTTTGTATACAACTACTTAATACGTACTTATACATATCAGTCTTAAGAGGAGTTCTTAGGAGTACCAGTTGAAGAACTGGCCTCACTTTATAATATCGTCACCATCGTCTTTGAGGTTATCATTCATTGAAATGGAGTAACGTCTGAGTAGTTAGAATTTCTTTAATGTCATAATATCAGCTACTATATTATATCGTTACACATTTTAACGACTATGGGAGTCGTCAATTCAAAAGGATTGCCTAAAAGTCTTTGACACCAACTTCTGTACTATTTGTAGATGTACCATTTATCTGTGTGCTATAGATATTTTGTTTTGTTTCACTGTATGAGAGACGATGTCGTCTGAGAAGAACAGCTTGAAGTATTCCATGGCACTCTTTTCTTCATTAGGCTCAAACGAAATATCTTCTACTTTTGCGGAACCAGTAAATGTACAGTAACGCCAATGTGGTGCTAACCCTTTCGTTGGTATTACTCTTCGCCGTACCGTGACAACTCTAGGTCTACTTGAGCGGGTAGCTGCTTATAATGGAGATAACAGCTGCATGGTTACGGCGTATCAAGTAATTGATGAGTGGTGCAGAAACTTGTGGGGACGACGATGCCAGTGGAGATGGTAACCTTACTTGATTCGATGTGGTCGGAACTGGAAACAATGGTTTGGTCTCCAACGAATGCAGGTGTCTCATTTCAGATATATTTGGCGATAAAATTAGTGGCGAACAAGGGTTGGTTATCGGCGATGGTTTTTGGTATAACACCAAAGATGTTGAAGCAGCAACATGATTAACCTCAGTATCGTCGTCTGATAATAGATGGATGTTTTCCATCGAAGATGATAATGAGAGCGGTGCTGAACTACTGTCGGAATGCGCTGGGCCTTCGTAATACTCGACTTCATCTCCCTTTCAACCAAAACACTTTCGTTCAAATCAGATTTTGCTCCCGGCTTCGGTACAAGAGCCACAAATTGTTGAACTCTATTTTGTTGCTGCATAATTAGGTGACCAACCATCTGTAATGATTAAATATACATAGTAACTTAATTAATGTATCTGTAAACTCTTCTGGCAATGTAACATTTTAGATACATAGTCAAAAATATCTATAATATTTGTTATCTGGCAATGAATCAGATCTGATACACTCAAAAACACTAGTGAAAAAAATACAGTTACAATCAGTTTTGCAGAACCAAAACAGAATACCGACTAGTAAAAAATTCTAAGCTATTCAAATAATATCACTTTCGTTTCTAATTATCGTTTAATATGATTTAAAATGAATTTTCTTACCTTGCGATGAGTAGACACATTGGTTCGGTTCACTATCTTGGGTTCTAATGCTTTCTCAGTGATACTAATAGTAAAACAACATTTTTGGTAGAAATTTAATTATATTTTGTTTCTACTAAACTAATAAAATTTTTCAAAATATTTCTCAGTTTGTGTCTAGATTTTTAAAAAGAACAACGTATCAAATTGTATACAGCACCAATAATAGGGTTAATATGTTGTGCCAGCACTACACTCTCGCACGAGTCGAATGATCCCCAGAGGGCTTAGTAAAACGAGATAGAAACGTTACCGCGTTCGTCGCACTGATTGGTTGGTTCATTGGAGTAGGCCAATCATAGCGCTGAACACGGTAACGTTGCGATCTTGTTAAACGTAAAGAAACTCGTATTGAGCCCCAAGATACAATGTCGTTATTAAATACATAATAACTGTAATTCTTCTTACATCACAAGACTGCAATGTACACTCGAGTTATATGTATAAAACCAGTTTATTGTGGCTTCACTTTGACTTTCCGCAAGTTCGACGGTTAGTTTATACTGGTGTTGCATCGCTTGATGTGTAGCATACACACATGCTCGCAACATAGTTCAGTTACCTATTTGGTAGCTCTACCTCGAATGTTTTCCAGGAGTTTCGAAAATCAGCAATTTTGTAGATTTTGATGGGCTCTTCCCGATTTACATTTTGCACCTGTTATATATAATACATGCATCGGTCGCGCCGCCATCCTGGAAAAATGGCGGCCAAAACATTTTTTTAACAATATCTCTTTACTTGTGCCTTTTACGAGATTACCGTTAAGTACAAAATTAAACTACAAATAATTTTCCATAATTTATGTCTATACAGCTCTTTTGTAATATAAGTAGTTTTGGTGCAAGAGCACCGCGAAGTATGATTTTTTATGAGCACTTTAGGAAAAGAAATATTCCACACCACGTGAAATTAAAGCAAGCGGCGCTTTGTTATATTGTAATTGTTTATAGGTGTAATACTCGTGTGACTGTGGTACTTACACACTTTAGGAACTTGCCATAATCTCCTTTTTTTTTAACGTTGCCCCACACTTGGATTATCTCCTGTGTCGTAAGTGCGTTTACAAACAAATAACTTCACATACACATGACACCCAGACCCGAAACAATAATTTGTGGATCACACAAAATGTTGTTCCGTGCGGGAATCGAACCCGCGACACGTTGCACAGCAGCCGGTTGCCCAGCCACCGCACCAACCGTGCAGTATTGATATCCACAAATTTCTTACTTAATGATCGGACTCATAGTGAAGCGTCGGCATCAAACTATGGAATGTTAACAGGAGCTCCCACGTCTTGTGCACTAACAGACAAACAGTCGAGTTCACCTTTATGTAAATTACAAACAAATTGTTTCATTACTCAGTTCCAGAACTCTAGAACATTTAGGAAACGTAACCAGCGTGGGTAGAGAAGTCTAGTATACTTTTAATACATTTTCACCTTTATCACAGAGGTGCACGGTTGGTAATTGAATGAGAAAGTTTGACAGTTTGGTGTATTTTGATGTGCCTATTCTATGTTATGAATAAGAAGTATGAATCATCCTACACTCAGTGAACTTTATTAATATTCAAACTAAAACAATTATTAGTTGTAACGCCCACATTTATTTTTTTCATGTTCAATGTACCTACAATAGTGATTTTGGGGAGTTAAAAAATCCCACTCCTTCGCCCTTTGAAGGTCAACAAATATACCCAAGTAAGTACCTATGCTACTTGTTAGTTTTTTCATAATCTAAGTAAAATATTAATCTTAACTTTTTTTGTAGTTAAAATTAAAACTCAGGTTTTATCCTTAAGCTAGTTAGGAAAAGGTCAGAAGGCAGTAGAAAGAGGTGGTCATATATTTTGTGTAGCGGGCTCGATTTCCATAAGGAAACGCCGGTGATCAGTGACCAGTTGGTCGCCATCAGCATTTGTATCTATACCTACATAATAATAGGAAGCACGAGGTCTTCTATATTGTCCATGTACACACATTTTGTGCCTACCTACTTCTTAACCTAACTCAGGAATCGACTATTATATTCGGTAGTTGCACTTATGAAATTGCAATCTTTTTTACCAAAGACTTTAGATATATTGTTAGAAGCATAGACAAAAAAAAACGAAACGTCATCGCGTAGCGGGAAAATGTAATCTGTGGTGCGAAAAATGAAAAAGTCAAGATGGCGGGAACTCGGAAGTTATTGAGAGTTGAAACAGCATTTTGCATTTTGGTGTTGAGGGATTTCTAATCTATTTGAAAGTTAATTTGCCCATTTATGTGTTGTTGT